GGGGGGGGGGGATTTATGGATGTGCTGGGATAAAGGAAATCATGGATTCAGCAGCTCTGGGGGAGAAACTCCAGGGATGGCCCAAAAATCCCACAGATCCCACAGATCTCAGCTCCGGGATGTCCCAGAATCCCACTCCGGGAATGTCCTACAAATCCCACAAATCCCAATCCAGGGATTTCACACAAATCCCACAAATCCCAGCCCAGGGATCTCCCCCAAATCCTACCTCATGGATAACACACAGATCCCAGCCCAGAAATGTTCCACAAATTCCACCCCAGGAATGTCCCACGAATTCCACAAATCCCATTCCAGGGATTTCACATGAATCCCACAAATCCCAGCCCAGGAATGCCCCAGGAATCCCACAGATTCCAGCCCAGGGATGGCCCACAAATCCCACCCCAGGAATGGGTCGAAAATCCCACAAATCCCACCCTGGGAATGTCCCACAAATCCCACAAATCCCGCTCCAGGGATTTCACACAAATCCCACAGATCCCACCCTGGGAATGTCCCACAAATCCCATCCCACAAATCCCTCTCCAAGGGTGTCCCGCAAATCCCACAATCCCACCCCAGGGACACATTCCATGTCCTTGGAATATTCCAGAGCCCTCTGGACACAGGGATGTCCTGCTGGATCAGGGCCCTTCCAACTGCCCCATCCCGGGATTCCAGGGTTCCATAGGAATTTCCCCCCCCCCCCAGTCCCTCCCTCCTCCCCTTGGATTTTAACCCCGGACAAAACCCCCTCCGACCTTTTCTCACCTTTCCTTTTCCAAACATTCCGGGGGGAATTTCGGGAATTCCGACCCCCCGCTTTCCCTGTCCCTCTGGAATTCTCCCGGGGTGGGATTTTCCCGTTTTTTTTCCCAGCTATTATGACACCAAGGCGGTGCTGCTGTGCCTGGGAATCACGGCCCTCGTGTGCCTGGGAATCTCCATCCTCAGCTTCCAGAGCAAGGTGGGATCGGGATCGGCATTCCCAGGGAAAGAGCTCCCTCTGGGGGGTTAAACGGGAATTTTGGGAGCGTTGGGATGTGCCGGGTGGGGCTGGAAGGGGTTCCAAGGGGGTAAAAACGGGATTTTGGGAGGATTGGGATGTGCCAGGCCTGGAAACAGGGCTGGAAGATGAGGAAGTTTGGGATAATCTGGGATTTTGGGAGCGTTGGGTTGTGTCCAAGGGGTAGATGGGGCTGGAAGATGAGGAAGTTTGGGATAAACTGGGATTTTGGTGGATTGGGATGTGCCAGGTGGGGCTGGAAGGGGCTCTGTGGGGATAAAACAGGATTTTGGGAACGTTGGGATGTGCCCAAGATCTAAATGGGGCTGGAAGAGGCTGAAGTTTGGGATAATCTGGGATTTTGGGAGGACTGGAACATTCCAGGGGTGTGGATGGGGCTGGAAGAGGCTGGAGTTTGGGATGAACTGTGATTTTGGGAGGACTGGGATGTGTCCAAGGGGTGCAGATGGAGCTGGGAGAGGATGAAGTTTGGGATAACCTGGGATTTGGGGAGGACTGGGACGATTTGGGAAGAGTTTGGCACCGTGGAAGAGGAGGGAGAGGAGGGAGAGGAGGGGGAGGAGGAGGAGGAATTGAGGAATTCCCGGTGCCAGGGGGGCTCCTGGGGCTCCTTTTCCCGGTGGGAAAGGCCCCGGACTGGGATGTTTTCCCCCCTTCCAGCTGGATTTCACCTCGTGCCAGGGAATCCTGGCCGTTCTGCTCCTGGTCCTGCTCCTGGGGGGGATCCTGCTGGGCCTGCTCCTGCCCTCCGGATACGTGAGTCATTCCCAAAAAACCCAAACACGTCAAATGGGTGGAAAAAAATCCCAAAGGGGTGAAAAAAACTCCGAAAAGAGGCAAAAAAACGCAAATGGATAAAAAAAACCTTCAAAGAGAGGCAAAAAACCCCCAAATGGACAAAAAAAATCCCCAAACAGACAAAGGAAAAAACCCCAAATGGACAAAAAACCCCAAAGGGACAAAAAAATCCCAAACAGACAAAAAACCTGAAATGGACAAAAAAAACCCTCAAAGAGAGGCAAAAAACCCCCAACAGGCAAAAAAAACCCCAAAGGGACAAAAAAAACCCCAAATGGACCAAAAAAACCCCAAACAGACAAAAAAAAAATCCCAAATAGACAAAAAACCCCAAATGGAAAAAAGAAAAATCCCAAATGGATAAAAAAAAAAAAAAAAACACAAAAAAAAGACAGGCAAAAAAACCCCAAATGGACCAAAAAAATCTGAAATGGATTAAAAAAAAACCTAAATGGAGAAAAACCCCCAAAGTTGATAAATAAAGAAATATGAAAACTGAATGAAATCAATAAAAAGTGAATAAACAATTAAAGTGAATAAATAAATAATTGCAGCAAATCAAATAAACAAATAAGAAATATGCCAAATATATAAAATAAATAAGGAAAATGAAATCAAATAAAGAATGAAATGAATAAAAAAGACATAATCATTAAAAAGAATAAACAATAGTGAGTGAAACAAATAAATAACAACAACAAATCAAATAAACAAATAATATATTGAATAAATAACATGAATAAATAATGAACATTGAATCAAATCAGGAATAAAATCAATAAAAAATTAATAAACAATGAAAATAAATAATTAATAAAAATAAATAGCAACAAATCAAATGAACGAATAAATAATCAAATAAAGAAAATAAATAAATGATGAACATTAAAGCAAAGAATAAAATCAATAAAATAAATAGTCATTTAAAAGAATAAAAATTAATAAAATAAATAAATAAAAATGGCAACAAATAAAAAAAGAAATATATTAAATATATAAAATAAATAATGAACATTAAATCAAATCAAGAATAAAATCAATAAAATAAAGAAATCATCATTAAAAGAAATAAAAATAATAAAATAAATAAATAAATAATAGCAACAAATCAAATAAAAAGTAAGAAATACATCAAATATATAAAATAAATAGTGAACATTAAATCAAATCAATAATAAAATCAATAAAATAAACAAATCATCATGAAAACAGAATAAAAATAAATAAATAAATAATAGCAACCAATCAAATAAACAAATAATAAATTAATAGAATAATAAATTAATAAAATTAATAAATAATGAGCATAAAACAAATTAAGAATAAAATCAATAAAAGAAACAGGGTTTCTATTTTAAGAATTTCATCTATTTAAATGATTAATAAGTAAATCTATTTAATTGTTTCATAGATTTAAAAATAATCATTAAAAAATAACTTAAAAGATAGTTAGAAAAAAATCAATAACGAGGAAAGAAACGCCCGATTTGGGAGTTTCTGGGACACAAAAGGAGGGGAAAATCCCCAAAAACATTCCCGGAAGGGCTGGAATTCCGCCCGGGGCTCCGGGAGCTGCAGCTCAGCGCCAAACCCTGCCGGGGTCAGTCCCGCCTAAACTCTTGAGCCGGGGCTAAAGCGGGTCTAACCCGGGTCTAAGGTGGGTCTAACCCGGGTCTAAGGTGGGTCTAACCCGGGTCTAACCCGGGTCTAACCCGGGTCTAAGTCGGGTCTAACCCGGGTCTATCCCCACAGGTCCCTTGGCTGCACGGGGTCTACGCTCTGCTCGGGGCCCTCGTCTTCTCCCTGGTGAGTGACACCCTTGGGATGGGATGGG